AATAGGCATATGGCCCTAAAACAACAACTGAGAATCTGGCCTTGAAATTGCCTGAGGACTGGCACAGAAAAAGCACATAGTAAAATTTTTTTCCATTCTATCTTTGGTTCTGGAAACATTTTTAATATTGTAGTTTGCATTTCTTCAGTTTCTTCTATTCAAGGATCTCAAGGCACTTTGCTAGCATTATTGAAAGGACAACACTCTCATGAGATACTTTAAATAATAATCTTTACTTTGCAGATGGAGAAACATAAATATTTAAGCCAGACATTTTCACACTTGATTGTTTAAAGTTAGTTGTCTAGATCTATAGATAGGCAACCAAATTAAAGGGACTCAGTTTTCAGAGGAGCACTGCCCTCAGGAAGTACTAACAGACCACTTAAAGAACAAATGCCATGCATACTCATTTGTAGAGAGAATGTTTGCTGTTTAAAAAAAGACATGAGCCATTTTAAACTTGGTTAGCTTCATTCAAATGCACTAAAAAAAGTGTTGTAACCTATAGCTGTCCCCAAGTCTCACCTCCAAACTTCTAACCACGTTTTCCTGTTTATTGAAAAATATTTCCTCTCTCCTATTGCTGTTTGCAAAAGCAGATCTAGGAGCTGAGCCTATGCAGTAAAAGGCTCTAGTCCTGTTAGCAATTACTTGCGCACAGCCTAGGAGTGAAAACAACAGCTGCTAGCAAATGGCCTCTTCCTTTTACTGTCTGTTTGCAAACCTGTCCATGAGGGAGCCTAGTCTCCACTGTCTCTGTCTAGTTCTTGATGCTGGCATAGGCTCTGAAGGGATGTCCAAAAGGAAGACAGGATACAGCACCATGTTGCAGGAGTGTGCTCTCTCTATAAATCAATAGTCAAGTCAGAAATTGTATTCAGGAATATGTTTCTGGGTTTTGAATCGTGACTTGTTGATAGTGGAAATGAACTGTCCCAGCTGTTAAGGATGCTGTTTCATGTTTATAGTGTTTTTCTGCAGATGTTACATGTTTTGAAAAATGACTCAGATGGGTGGTACTGGTCTCTTGCACTGAGTCCACACCCTAGGGATATGTAATTGCTTAGAAAAATGTGGCTCATTTAAAGTTCCAATAAACACTTTTAAAAAAATTACATTTACCAGGACAACAAACCAAATTAAATCCCTTCAGGCTGATACACACTAGAAAGAACTGGTGTTGTCATTTTCTGTTGATGGAGCAGACTGGGAATGGAGTAGTGCTTCTGCATATAGTTTGATTATATGAATCTTTCTCCATAATAACGTAATGCAGTTATATAGATATAGAAGGCAGATATGTAAGAACTGTAATAAACACATTTTTCATCACTCTTTTGCCCATGTACAAGTGACAGACTTAATTCTGCAATCATTTCTGCAAATATAGAGGTTTACTTATGCGAGAAGCTCCATTGAAACAAGAGGGATTTCTTGCAGCAGTGAAGTTAAGCATAGGCATACGTGTTTGCTGGATAAGGTGTCTTGAGAGCCTGTTCCTGCCACTCCTTTATCAGGCAAAAAAAAATGAATGTCATTGAAGGAATGCAGAACTGGAATCCAAGTCTGCATTCTGAATTTTAACTCCTGAACAGAACTAGTTCTCAGAAATATACCAATCAGCTCATCTGTTGTATACCCAACAAGCTATTCACATTCTGCAGGCAGTTACACCCATGTGTAGCGATACAGATGGATGGGGTAACTCCTAATGAAAGGCAGAATTTGGTCAGTTTTAGTCTGGCTGCACTTGATGGCGGACTTCTGTGGGATTAGTGATTTTGTGATAATTTCTGCTTCCCATAACTTATTTAGTTGGTATCACAAAGTAAATGCAGTATTTATAAGCACCTCAATCTTATTAAACTTTCTCCTTGGTAGTGAAATAAGGGTGCATTTCCTCAATGTGCGGGCCGGGAGCGACCCGAGCCCTTTTCGCGCTGCACGCGGGCTGTGGCCAGCAGCCCGGGCACGCCGGGGCGGAGAGGGAAGGCCTTCGAGCTGGAATTAGGCACGGACGCGTAGCGGTAGTTTAAAAGATTGTTTACTTACACCGAGATGGCAGTGGTGTAGGCTGGAAAACTTGCTTAAGTTGCGGTTACAGAGAGAAAAGAAAACAAAACTCGAACCTGCAGGGCACGAGGGTACGTCGCAAAGGGTTCCGGCGACGGGAAGATGAAAAATACGAGGGTATGTCGCAAAGGGTTTCAGCGACGGGAAAGTAAACCTGCAGGACTCGAACCCAGGTAGAAGAGCTCTGGAGTCGTCCGGCAAGGACTCACATGAAGTTTGCTAGGCTCTAGTTTTGCTAGACCTCTGTTGCCTACTTGAAATGCGCTGGGTCCGTAAGGATCCGCAGCGCTTAGAGATCTTCACACAGCGTGAAGTCTCCTCCTCCCTTGTTCGTGGAGTCCTCCAACTTGGGCGGAAACCACTCAAGCCTCTTATACGGCTAGCAAGCCAATCACTAGCCGCCACGTGTGAATAATTTAGAACTGGCCAATAATGGGACTCGAATTAGCATACAAATGGCGGGAACTCTTTGCAACGAGCATTTCTGTGCTGCAACAAAGAAATGCACCCTGCAAAGAAAGCTTCAAATTGGTGGGAAATTCTCCCTTGCACCGGGGTTCTCTTTTGCAGCAGAAAACTCCACTGTGCAAGGAAGCTGCAATTTAGCGGGGACAATTTAGCAGTGCCGAAGCACACAAAAACAAAAATCACACCCTTTGGGTTGTGACACTCAAGTGTTTTGTCTGGTTTATTTATTAATTTACTAAAATCATATTCTTGTTTCTTAATTTTACCTGAAAATACTTCCCAAAAAATGTTGGTCTGATTGTAAACTGAGAAATGGCCTCTCTGAGTTCTGTCTCTTTTTTAAAACTTGTCAAGCGTTCAATGCTGAGTCAACAAGTCATTTCCAGTTACAGCAATGGCAGTTGTTCTCTGGGGAAGCTCCATTTCCTCTGTCACCAGGTTAATTTCTCAGGTCACTACTAAATTAATACCATGGTCTTTTGCATTGCATATGTTGAACACATGTTTCCT